CGACACAGTATGGGAATGCGCAGACGTTCAAGAGTGCAGGCGAGCCGACCCCCAAGTCATGATGGCGGTGACAGCAGCACTAATATGTTTGTGCGCTCTTCAGAGAGCTGGCAGTCATACAGGAGAAGGACCAGCAGGAGGACGTGCAACTAAAAGCAGAGAAAGGACAAGAACAAGTGCAGCAGGAACAGAAGCCGAAAGAGGAGCAGGAGCGGATTCCGATTGAGGACGAAGCTGCTGTGCTCCTGACGACGTCGCAAAGACCGGAACGCATGCAGCCCATCTTCTGCATGTCCTACCTCGGCCTCGCCTACGCGGCCAACGTCGGCGGCACGGGCGTTGTGACCGGCACCGGGCCTAACCTCGTCTTGCTCAGCACCCTGAAGAGGTTCTGACGCGTTCCCACGCCGGTCCATCGTTGGCGGGACTTAAATAAGTCTCGGTTTGCAATGACTAACATCAATAGCAGTAGACGCTGGCGGATGCAAACGTCCTGTTACTCATTAATCCGTTAAAGTGTGTGTTGTTTATTCAATTTAATTAACTAGTTTTGTAAGAACAGCGTACAAAATCAGCAGGTCTGCAAGATGGCCACAGCGGCAGCACTGAGCAGAGTCGCCACAGAGGAAACATAATCCGGAGACTCGTTGTGCCGCAAGAGATAGACAAAAGGGCGCTTCAGATATTTTAAAATCTATCCTGTCTCTTTTCTTAAGTTTATTTTTTGATTTCCTGTTTCGTTAACCATAACTCGTTTATAGATATGCTATTTTCTTAATTGATTTTGAAAATAACACTTGGGGATTTCGCTTACAGACTTTTCCGCTATTTCTGGCTACTAATACCTAGAGTATTTTCTTAAGCAGGTAATGTTTAACCTTGTGGAGCAGCTTTCTAACTGATCTTCAGTTCCTTATCAAATCAGAATGAAGCCGTCTTTACTGTTACTTTCTTCGCTAAGTCTATTGCCTGACTTATGACATTACTACATCACCTCGTTTGTATTTGCCTCTTAAAATATCGCCTTTTTCACTCTGATTTGAGTAACCTTAGATGAGCTTTCTCTTAGTTATTAATTGATAATAAAAAATGTGTACTTTCAATCGCAATTTCCTTGTCAACAAGTGAAGGGAAGGAGACAGTAATCGAAGATATTGCCGATGTCGAGGGCGAAGGAGACTGCAAGGAAGGCCTGACTGCAGCTACTCTGCTGCGGCGTTCTCTTCTGCTGGGCGTGGCCTATTCTGCCAACATAGGGGGCACTGGTGTTATCACGGGCACCTCACCCAACCTAGTGGTCATGGCAGTTCTGAGCGAGTAAGTCGAGCCTCATAGGGAAATAAGTGTCGGCGTCCCTGGAGGACCCGTAACAATGCAGATGTCAGGAATCCGTCCCTCGGGAGGTTGGAATGTCCTTGCAGCCATCCCGAGATCATGTTTTTTTTTTTTCATTACCAAACTCGACGACGGAGAAGGGGCTGAGTAGGGAAGCCGAGAGAAAAAAAGACGAAGAGCAGATAATCCTTCTAACTTCCACCCGTCTAATTGCCAACGTTTGGTCAATTCAGCGTGGTTTGTCCAGATGGCGAGAAGGGGGAGGAAAGGCAAGAAGATGCTAAAGACAAACACAACATGCGCATGATGATTTACTTCTCCATCATGTACGCGGCGGACGTGGGGGGAACCGGCGTCATCACAGGCACTGGCCCCAACATGGTCCTCAAGGCCGTCCTGCAGGAGTGAGTGATAGTCGAGTCTCACCCGTGCGTTCGCCTGTGTAGCTGGAAATTTAAAGCTCTCTTTTAAATATAGTAGTCAGGCATATGTCACAATCAGTATTTGCAAGAAGCCTATCCATTATTGGAGGTTTTCTTGCGAGATTCCTGAAACCATTCTGTAAAGAAAAAAAAAAGAATAATAGTATTCTCGAAAAAAAAAATCATCCAGGAATCGTGACGTCTGTTCTGTACATGTTAATATGTTTGGGAATATATGAATAACGCTGATGGTACACACCATTAATAACTTTTTGGACGCTTGTAATTTGAGATCCCATTTCTTCCTTGTTGGGATTGTAAAGCCAAGGTGGTACCTTGCTAGGAGTATCTGCCCGCCACGCGGAGGCTAAGGACCCGCTTCTGCCATTGCCTGACACCACACGTGAACGTTTTTGCAAGTCACTGTCACATGGGATGAGTGAATGAGAGGCTTTGTGTGGTTGCTCTGTCCCATTTATAGAGCTTGAGCGTGGTGTTCATTGCCTTTGTTTTGAATTAAAGCTCTTGAATGGTTTCGGAACAAGATGACAAGCCTCCGAAAGGAAAAGAAAAATATCCTGCCCACTTATATGTAGAATACAGCAAGAACTGTGGCAGCATCTCGATGATACATGAAAATACACAGGAGACGGTGAAGTATATAAGCCAAGAGCGTTGCGCGCCCAGGTAAGTGCTGCCCCGTACTCTCAGTGCAGCTCGCGTGGGTGCTTCCCTCTGCTTGT